GTTTTTTGACATTTAGATTTATAATTGTCACAGTTGTTTAATGTTCTAGTTTTTCTATCATGGTTTCTATATGTCTGAATTCTTGATTTTTTTCACTATTTATTTTATTTTGCTTTGTTTTTAAGATACTATATTCTAACTTTTCCATACTTGAAAATGTCAGCATTGGTTTCTTATGTAAAGGGTACCATCGCAGGTGTAAAATTTGTTGTACTTTTTTTTCTCCGCACTACATTTTATAATTAAAAAAAAATCATTGATGCATAGAGGAACTGGGGTGTAGGCCAGATGTGCAGGGGCTGAGAGGATTCACCAGGGACAGGGTGGGGAGCAGAAAAGGTGGATTGACTGACGTACACTGCTGAGGGGGGCTGCGGGTGGGTCAGGAGAGGCCTGCCGCGCCCTGTGTGACAGTTGTGGAGGGGAATTGATCTCAGGCCTTGGTGGCGATAGCGCTGAGACTTAACCTCTGTGCCGCCAGGGAGGCCCCCAACTTTTTAAATTATGTGACTGTCGGAGTTCAGAGTCCATTTGGTTATCTCTCCTTGTATGGACTGACTTTCTGAGGGGAGATTCAGTTCAGCTGGAGTCTTTCTGGTTGATGTGGGAGAGATTGCTTGTGAAGGTTTCCCTAAAAGGTTGTATGTCCTTTTAAGATGCAAATCAGACTTTTTTCTTTTTAAAATTTTTTGCACTGTATGTTAGGGTACTTCCCTCTGGTCTTTAGGAGCTCCGCGGTGGACGTGACATCTCTTATTCGCTTCCTCCTTCACTTCAGTCTATTTTATCAATCCTGTTGTATGTTGCCCTGTAGCCTGTCGACTGTGCTTTCGCCTATGTTTCTAGTTACTTGGATTTTGCTGCTCTTAATTGGATTTGCATTTCAAATATTTCTGATTTTTTCTTCTGTTCCTTTCCACCGCTTTGGCAGCTTGCTTTCATCTGCTCTGTAGTCTTGTAATCCCTTACTTGAGCTCTTTCTGATGAAAGCTCATGTCTACAAAGTCTGTGATATTAATGCAGAACTCTGTGTCTCTTTCTTGGTTTAGTTTCTTTTGTGGTGTGTTTTCTCCGTCAGCCTTTGGCTTATTGTTCTCTTCCTCTGGACACCTTTCCCCCACGCCCCCACTTTCCAGAGGTCCAGGGCTAACCCTTCCACTACCAGATGGGTCCGAGTGAGGGACCAGGCAGGGGTGCTGTCACCTTTGCCCGGCGCTCACCGTAGTGTGGGTGGGTGCCCGCGGGCTCTTGGGCCTCCCAACCAGCCCTTACCACGTTACGTGATGATGAGAGTTCGATGGGCTTGATTTTTGGAATTGGTTGTTTCTAGATGAATTTAGGACTAGAAAAGAGTAATAAACCATCCAACCAGGAGTCTTGCCAGGTGTGTAGTCGCATCTAGATGACGCGACACGCTGTTGGTTTTCAGGACCATTTTCCCAGAGTATCATTGGATCCCCTCCACAACCTGCCCTCATTCAGAGTTTTAAAGGTGCAAGGGTCTTTTCTGGGGTGGGAAGGAAGAAAGGATAAAATGTGTTACTGTTTCTGATGAGCGTGCTACCATCTTTTGTACTTATGTGCCATATTTACTGGGAGTGAATTTATTTTTGGAGCTCTTCCTAGGTGGTTACCTGAAAGTCATTAAATATGTTGTAAGTGAAATATGTAATGATTTGATGGGAATGTGGGAAAGAAAGTGTGAATTCACCCTGAGCTCAGAAGCAGGGACAGTTGGTTGGATACAGTAAGTTGTTGATACATGACTGTCTGCTTCTGAATCGGATGGCTCAGAAGTACTTTCCACCCTTCTGGTATATTTATGTTGAGGAGGTGAGTTCACTGCCACTTGCTTTAAGATGTTTAAAAATGTCAACATAGCTGCAGTTCTCAAAGGTCCAACTATCTTTCTGTCTCATTTTCTTGTTCTTTTTTGTTTGTTTTCGTAACACCCCTCTTTGTTTCTTTATTCCTTTCAAAACATCATAGTTCCTCATGTATGCAATGTTTACCTTTCAGAAAAGCAAGAGGAAAGGGCACGAATATACCAATATCAAGTATTCCCTAACAGACCAGGCAAG